GTTAACATAACCGAAACTCGGATATCCGTAACCTTAACCGTATCGGTTTCGTAATTTTTGGATTAAGGCGGAATTTAAATGAACAAAATCATGTTTCGACAATTTTCGCGCGCCACGTGACTCTTGCATCAATTTAACTTGTTACGTATTTAGGTACTTAAATCCATAAATTACTAGAATCTAACGTATAAACCAAGCTAATCTACTAAGATAGGATATTCATATCAATTTCGAAATCTTACCATATCCAGATCCTAAATTAAATATCATATCTGATGATAATGATGTCGCTGATTTGTGCCTTATATTACTATAAAATAGAAATGTATAGATATCCATCCCTGCCTGCCCCTCGGCGATTAAAGAGCGTGATGTTATGCTTCCTCTAATCAATGAGAACAAGAACAGAGCAAGCGCCTTAAAGGTATTTTAATTTCATTAATACTGTTTATATTGTATCAAGTCAATTAAACAGAGCAACATTAATCAATTTCTAAGAACACTCCATTAAAACGCTGACGATCAGGGTTGTTTATCTCTTTACTGAATGAATAACGGTCGGCTTGTACCTAGCTATTTCCGAACTATGTACAACGATTCCTTACAAGCGATTGTTACACTTTAAGGAGGGCGCTTGCAAAAGACACTTCTTATGAAAGATTCTCCGGAACCCTAATCCCGAAAAGGCCACAAGAAGGACGAAGGCCAAAAGACCAGTATTATTACACACCTACATACATATTATTATGTTTTAGGCCAGAGTGGTACAACGTTTTATGTAGGTACTGCCTCTAAGTTTTTTTTACCACATAGTTATCAAGGGTTTAAGTTATACCAAATCAAAGTAGGTATAACTCAAAATTAAATTTATTGCGAATAAAGTTCCTACTGTATCTTAATGAAACAATGTTATTGTAAAGCCATTTCTCCATTAGGTATCTACTTACTGCGCTATGAGAATATAAATAGGTATTAAGCTACATATAGGTAGTGTAAAGCTAAGTATAGGTATAGGAATCGGATTGACTGAGTAAGCGTGCTAGAAATCTCTATTATTCGTTTCGTCATTTTATCCATCAAGCTCAGATAGTGTTATTTATAATTTTGGTTTAAGTATTTACTTACTTTAACTTGACTACATAGTATAAAACAAAGTCGTTTCCCGCTGTCTGTTCCTGTGTATGCTTAGATCTTTAAAACTACGTGACAGATTTAATGCTGTTTTAATAGATAGACTGATTAAAATGAAGATGTATAACTTATTAAGATTTGCGGACGAGGTCTTGGACAGAAAGCTAGTAATTTAAATAAACCAATCATACAAGTAAAATTCTTCATACTTATGAAGAATTTTATTTTTTTATTGTATGCCGTATTTGTAGCCAGGTGGCGTAGCATTGCTACGAAATAGGCGTAGCGGTGTCAAAGATCCACGTGGTAAAGCAGCTTTACTTTCATAAAAGTTTTTATACTCGTTCTACTTTGTTTGGTCTTGACCTTTACAAGCTGATAGTTTCAAAGACCTTTTGTCTTGAATGTATGTATTTGAATATTTTATATTTTCCTACAAAGCACTATCTACCAATACTAGACAAAATGGTAACTTATAAACTTATTTCTTTGTAGTTATATCTGGACTTAAGTAAGTACCTATACATATACCTGCTATGACTGAAAATTGAATTTTATAACCGTTTCGATTTTGTAATCGCTATTCATAATCTATTACACAATACTGACGAGAAATTAATGACAATGGATCATAAGTATGTATTATTTAAACTCATGCCATAACTTGAACCAGATACCAGGTTCATAGGTACAGGTATATGAATATACATACGTATGTATATGAATATATCATAAAATGGTATGGGATCGCCCAATTGGGTATCAATGTACCTATTTTCACAATTCGTTCGTTCATTTCTGCACCTGTTAGGTTTTGTACTTATTTGTTTTCTCATCTCCTGAAATAAAAATTGGTAGTTGTTTCTGGTCTTCATGCGACATTAGATACGAAGCAGACGCAAAGTTTGTTTATTTATAATCACTCGTGCATTGCTATCGAAAGATCGTATTTTTTTTCGAGATACATTTACCTACACGAATAAATACTTTACCTACCTAGACGCGAATAAATACTTTTTATTTCTTTCTTCTTTCTTTACATTTTGTGCAAATAGAAATAGTAGGAGAGGGATAGAGAGAGAAATTCTTAGAAAACCGGGAAGGGCTACTAATAGGTACCTAACAGATTTATGATGACGATGATCTGTAGAGAACGCCTTCGCCTTCAACCCCGCCCTGAAAGTAGTTTCAGGGCGGGATTCAGAGTCCGAATAAAGGCGAACATAATTAGGACTCTTGATTGCCTGTCTGGCCAATTACGGCGCCCAGTTTGACAAGCTTTTTTATATTTTTACATTTTCGCTGTTCGAAATTCACTTAGCGATCTTGAATTCATAACTAGAATTAGTGTACGTACGTGTACACTAATTCTTTTATACCTACATAAAAAATTGAACCATACTAGTATTGTCTAACTAGCAGGTCTACCCGGTACTAAGATAAAATAGGGCACCTAGCAATTTAAAAATAAGGGGACTTCCAGGTGCTTTTTACCCGCTGATATTTTGTGTATCTACTTCTGTATGTAATGTACCTGTCGCAGCCAAATAGTTGAATTAGCCACCCAACCAAAGGCCTATTTACATGACTAGTCGTTTGATTGAATGACTTAATTTCTCTTTCAGGCTGAAAGTTGAAGGGTGAAGAATTGGTAATAAAAATAGAGTTGCTACGAATATTGTTATTATTATTTACTACCATTATTGGTTATATTAAAACTGTGAACTGCACATAAACAGAATCGCTATCACATAAAAAACATCTAGGTACTCAAATAGAACTGCGATCAAAAGGCTAGCTAATTGATTGAATGGCTACTTTAACGAGTTGGTAGCGACATATCGAGTGTACCTATTAATATATACATTTAACCTAAATCAGTTTTTTAGTGAGAACATTATTGCCAAAATATAATCAATAAGATTAGGTTAGAAGACTTGATTATATTATTTATTTATTACCCATTATTTATTATCAGTGTGTGTTTAGAAAAGCTGATTGCTAAATAAATAAATAGACAAAGCAGTTCAATGACATTGTATCCTTTTTATCAATGTATACTTTTTTTAACAGCCTCGTTCCGACAAATTCCTCCGACTGCCGAGTAATAAGGAGCCTTTTGAAACGGGGAAAAACCTTGAACAGATTTCTTTCGCTCTGGGCATGTATTTTGAATCATAAGCTTATCAAAAGTGGATAAGGTATTAAAAAATGTAAACGAAAATAATACTTTAGCTGTTTTATTTAGAGTACACGAGTTTCCGAAGCAGTTACCTCACGACAATAAATAACACATTTATTTGATTACATAATCTTAACAACTAATAATAAGTTGCAGTATTATCGCGTCTTCAGAAGCTTTGACTATGTCTACTGGCTACTTTTCTATAATCTGTAAGCACGCCAAGTGATTTATGTATGCAGTGGAAATATCCAGACTTAAATAAAAGATCAACAAATAAAACATTTTAGTGACAAACGCGCAACAAAACTGACTGTAGCCATAAACAAAATCACAATAGAGCACCAAAATTTTACCAAATTTAAATAATATAATTAGGCATAGAAAACAAAACAAAAGCATATCTTCACAACTTCAACAGTAAAATTAAATAATAAACATAGATGTAATACCGTAAAAGAGTGTTAACGATTTTGGTACCTGGAAAACAATTAGTTTGTTTAAAATGTAAAAAAGTTCACTGAACTTTGACACTTTCTTTTGACACTTTTTCACTTTATTGTTCCGATTTAAGGTCGAAACTCCAATCTATTCCTAATTATAACATTAAATAGATTCATAGCTAATACATATATGCAGTTTTGTACCCCCGCAGTCTTACCCACATTCTCTCTTTCTCGATATCCCAGTATCTTTTAGCAACACATTTTAATAGGACTGATTATGAAATTTTGTTTTCTTTATTCATCTGGTACATTTGTTAAAAAGTATTAGATAATGTTCCAGAAACCATTAAAAGTATTACACACACATGAACATAACCCAGGATTCAAAAATGTTTTGAAATTTCGCGTCATAATAAAACTTTAATGGCATTATAGAACTTTAATTCGTTTTATCCAAATGCCAAGAACAAATTGACAGAATAATGATAAAACACTCAATTTAAGATACTACATCCATGGCTTAAACATATTTCCAGTTTGAGAGCTTGCTTAAAAGAACATGATCTTTATAATAAAATTATTAAAACTACAATAGATTTAAATATTTGAGATACAACAAAATTAAAATATCTATATCTGAGTGACAATTTGATTCGTATAAAACTATGAAAATTTCAATCATGTTTGTAACACTTCATCCATTACAAAATTTAGAAAACATTATTTATCTATGTCTATCAAATACCTTATGGTTCGAAGTTTGACTGCTCATTTTTATTTAGAAATTAGGTCCTTGAAAAATTTCTTTATATTTCTTATGAATTTAATTTATTCTCCCATTTTAAGCCATACACATTGGATTTAAAATAAAAATACTGGTACTAAAATAATACATCAGAAGTGACTTTAAACTAAAAAAATTGGAGTGCACAAAAGACACACTGCTTAACAATTTTCTGAACAAATTTCTTTACTGGGGAATTGTTTACGTAATAATGGCAGTGCAGAGCAGTACAGAGCACAAAAAAAGTCTTAAAGAACTTCTTCAAGGACCTAATAGATTTTATATACAAAAGGTAGTTATGATTATTATGAAACTACCTTCCTACAGTTTAGGAACTAACAAAAATTAAAATCATATGGATACATCTAGATAAAACAATACTCATCAAACATCTAACAAATAATTAACTGAAATAGTCTTACTATGAAATATTTATACATATCTTTGTAAAGGAAACATTATTATGCATATTTTCATTTGTGAAACAGAATCATCAATGATTGATTCTGAATATTTGGAGAGCACAATATTCATCAGTCATCTAATAAATAATTCAAAACAATACAATATTAATGTTTCTTTTATAAAAATATTGAGGTTTTAAGAAACATAATATTCATATTTTAATTTTGAAGTATAAAAAGGTCTAAATTACCAGAAATGCAGAGTAGGAAGTACTTCAGTCTTCAATTAAAGTAAAAAGATCTTTCTTAGGCTTTACAGGAACAACTGAAGAATTAGCTTCTTCTTTATTTTCTGGAGACATTTTAGCCTCCTTTATAGGCCTGTTATTTTCATCCTTTGATGGCTTTCTTTTTAAGCTGAATACTTTATTAGTGTAGATACCATCATTCCCATTCTGCTCACTAGAAGACACTTTCCTTTTCTTAGTTTTAGTGACAACAAAGTCTAAGTCTGAGGAGTCATCATCAAAGTCAGCATACACTGGTACAGTGCGGCCACTTCTAGTAGACCTTACAGGCTGCACCCTGGTGGTTTCCTCTACAATCTGCAGTGGTGGTGGCCAGGCAGCAAAGATGGCTGATTGCCTGGCTTGGTGATAGCTGTTCAAAGACATTAGTTTTATGTAAACAGCCAGACTGCGGGCTTTCTCAGCAGGTGATATAGTAGAGGGCAACAAACTCCAAGGCAAGCGTCTGTCCCTTACATTTAGGTACCTTCTTTTCATAGGCTTGTTTGGGGTGGAAATTAACTCAACTGTCTCAGTCTGAAACACATAACAGAGGAACAGTTATACTAACCAGATGACATTCTGTTATGTTCCATATGCAAATGAAAAATTAAAGACAATTTACATTTTCGTTATCACGAGCTGCTCTATCTTCTCTTACTGAGGATTTGGAATTTTTCAAAGCTTTTAAAAGATCACTCATTTCTTCTTTACTCAGGTTCTCTTCCTCCAAGCCATACTCTAAGGAAATAAAACAGGACATGTAAGTTAGTGAGAAAATGTATTACTATAAACAAAAGAATACTCAAAAAAAGGCTATGATACTAATAAATTATTCTTGCTCATTAAAATAAATAAAACATGGAAACTAGTAAGAAATTCTAGGACGTATCAGAATACCCTTCCTTTTTTACATAAAACTAAATATTACTTTAACATCGAAATATGATCAAAAACACTAAAACAAACATAATTATTATGTTACCGATCAATTCACTCTTCATATGCTTCATTTCGGAATCGCAACTGTCGTCGGATGATAGTGCCGGCTCCATTTTTTATCTATTTACTATGTTGAAATCAACTCTAATACTTGATATAGACTCTACATTACAATTTAGTGCATAATCAAACAACAGCGCATTAAAAAACACAAAAACATTGAAAGTTGATAAACACAACACCAATCAAATTAGGTAGGTACCTTCCTATTTACCAACTGTCTGTCAAACTGTCAAAAACATAGTTTTACTACAATTTGGTCTTTAATGTTGGCAATAAATATATAAGCGAAAACCGGTATTGGTCATGACGGCAACTCCGCATTTTAAGCATAAAACGGCATTTTAAACATAAAAATATTAATATTTACATAGATTAATAGTTTATTACCGGATTTATCATTATTTTCCGGATACATTATTTTGGTCATTGTAATGAGCATGAAAAAATTGCTTTTTAGTCGATACTTAAACAGCAGCACTATCGTCTATTGTTTTTATTTTTATACCTTGTCTGTGTGTGTGATAGGTGAATGACAGATGGACTGTCCTGTCCTTGTGTGTAGTGTGTAAAATAAAATGCAATGCATGTTGCATTATTTTATTGTCGGTTTTATTTATTTATGACTGAAATTCTATATTCAAGCTTCTTAAATACAAAATATTTTACATTCAGTATAAAAATACAAAGTTTTATGTAATAGTGCGTTTATGCTTCGTTCCAATTAGAACAAAATGGAAGAGGAGATAAGATGTTTTGTTTGTAAAGAATTCTACAGGGAACCAGTGTTACTACCTTGTGGGCATGCACTTTGCAGAGTTTGTGCTGTCAATTTGCAGACCCACATACCAGAAGGAGATAACTCTGCAGCCTCTAACGATTACCAAGAAGCGGACAAAGCCTCAGTATCTAGCGAAACTGACAGTGGAGTAGTATGTGGATCAAGGCCTAATAGTTACGCAGGAACCCCGGCAGTGCCCGCGTATTCGAGTGCGGCGTTCACAATAACTTGTCCATCCTGCAGTAAATTAGTTTATTTGGATGACAATGGGGCCGAAGGGCTACCTCCGTTTCGCGTTATGCGAACTATTGTTGAGCGATTCGGTGGTGTTACTGGTGCTCCGCCTGCTGAGGAGGCCTGTCAAATGTGTGAAGGTGAAAGGCGAGCAGCCGTAGTGAGATGTGAGCAGTGTTCAGTTCGGTACTGCGCTGGCTGTCGAGACGCCTGGCACCCCACACGTGGGCCCCTGGCCCAGCACGAGCTGCGGCCACTGGGCACCACTTGTGCAGATCATGGCTCGCCTCCCGTGCTCTATTGTAATGCCTGTTTAGTGCCCATATGTCAGCGATGCCTTGCTGAACGTCACTCTACACATGAAACACAAGCATTGTCCACAGCTGCCAGAGCTCATAAGGTAATATAAAAATGTTAACATGCCAACTGATTTCACTGCAATTAGTTAATTACTCCAACGAAATGCAGGTGGTTTCAACTAAACCGGTGTTTCTATTTCAGACTGAATTATCACAATCATTGCAACATCTATCAGAACAAGCCAAAGCCATGACTGAGTACATACAGCTAGTTAAAGGAACAGGGGACAAAATTAACGTGAGTATTGTACATTATATTTAGCAATACTATACATTCTGTACCTGTGAAGTTAATACAACTTGTGTTAAACATTTCATTTGTCTAACATGTTAACATCCTTTTTCGTAGGAGTCTTGTGAAGAATTGGAAAAACAAATTGACAATGCTTGTTCTGAAGTAACTCGTGCCATAGAGAGGAGACGCGATGAGCTTATACGTGCAGCTAGAAACACACGATCTCAGGCCATAACCAATATGCGCTCCCTTACGTCACATGCTGCTCAGAAGCTGCGAGAAGCAACAGCTTTGCTCCACTTCTCCATTGAAGCTCTTAAAGAATCAGATCATGCAGCTTTTCTACAAGTAAGCATTTTGGTGACTACTTTATTACTTCATACTTTCTACATTTATGCACACAAAAGTTTGTAAAAATTATGATTTATTTTTATATTAATTCCTTTATCAATTCCATATTATTAGATTGACCTAATTCTAATGTATCTGTATGTAGCTGGTATCAATCAGCAAACAGCATTACATTATGTACTGTAATATTGATAATGCTTATCTTTCATGTCACAGTGTTACTACTTAGATATCTTAGTAGGCCTTAGCCAGTCCCACATTATCTTATTTTCATCAGGCATCAAATAAAGTACATATACATAGTACATACTAGGATATGAACATAACACTCTGAGGATGTATGCAGAAATGTGTTTATTATAATTCATTTAACATTTCAATTGTGGCAATTCGAGACACAATAGAAAAACAATAGGCACTGACTGGTGTTTGCTTGGGATTTGATGAATTAGTAAAAATATTCCAATACCATTTGGCCATTTGGTGAGCTATCATCCTATACCGGGTACCTGGTCATTAATTGAAAATCTCTATATTACATATTTGTTCACTTATGTATACAAATACAGAACACAAGAACACATATTTAAAATTTAATTTTAAATACCTCAGTACATATTTCTATTGGAATTTCTTCTGCAGACTTATCAAAGGAAAAGAAAAAGAAAACATATACACACAATAAACTGAGATACTTCAATATATATATCGCAATCCTGTTGGCCCAGGTGTCTGTTATCAATTAGTGAACACAGCTATCTAAGAAATGTAAACAAAGCAATGACTCGAACACATTATGTTCGCCAAAGCTCTCTGAACAAAGGATATTATGTTTTACTTATGGAGCATTCCATACCCGTATTTAATGTGTAGTCAGTCATAAATAATTCATACATGTCATGTTCCTAAACTTATTTTGTATTGACAGTTCTGCGGTCGCGAGTTTTATTGGGGTTTTGATTTGAAAATTATTGGATTGGTTTGAAATCTTACTTCTTACTAGTATTATAAATCCGAAAGTGACGATGTTTTAATGATTGTTATTCAATCACACCAAAATGGCTGGACGAATCTGGATGAAATTTGGCACAGGTATAGGATACACTCCGGAATAGGACATAGACTACTTTTTATCAACATACCACGCGGGCGAAGCCGCAGGCGGAAGCTAGTAACAAAATAATATGTGCTCCTCTGCTTATCCCCTTATTCCTTAGGCGACTACCTAGGTGTTATATTTTTAACCTTCACTCGATTCTAGTATATTTAACAAAAACGTCTTATAACAAATTATTGTTTTTTCAGGTGGGGAACATACTATCGGCGCGCGCGCAGGAGACCGCGTCCAATCTATGTTCGTCATTAGACACCCCGCCCACTGCCCCAGCCCTCACACTCGATGTAGAGCCAGTGCTACGTACCGTCAGAAGTATGAACTTCGTGGAATGCATACGTAAGTTTATGACCTTGTGCAGTAAAATAAATATTCAATTAAATGAGACGATGCAAAACGTATTTGAAACAACAAGACATTTAAATTATTTTTCTTTTCTTGCTAACATTGGATATACAGCAGCTGAATGTCTTATGAAGTCATCAGGTAAAGAAATATCATAGATATGTTTTTAAAATTTATCGATTTAGGTACTTTTCCACTGAGTAAGGCGAGGAGTCTCGGATCTTACTTGACTAAAAATACACCGTAACTTCTCCTGCTCCAGGAAGCCGAGGTGCATTATTTCACTTAAGCCGCAACCCCGGGAACTCCAATTGTGTTTCTCGTATTTGAAGTGCAATTTCAAACAAACTGAATAAAGCTGTGTCATTGTTTAAAATCTCTTGGCTACCTAGTCAGTGTAATGACTGCAAGCTATATTCTGAGCATGTCGGGTTTGATTCCTGCGTCTGGTAACCACGAGACTCGAACTGAGCAGCTAGGGGGCAAACGAGACTGATCAGCGCATCTATTGCAACCCGCAACACCAGAGGAGACACAAATGCGTTGAAGATCTTTTAGAAGTACGCTCTGTTTTTAAAAAGCGTGGTTCGTATCGGTTCGGAATCCCCCCGACGAAAGGTGGTGAGTTGATAGGCTCAAAAGTCCATTGCATGGGCCCAAAACACCTGTTGAAATTAGATGCGTTAAAAGTCATAAACAATTATTGTAATTATTATTTGAATACAGCGCCCGGGGCTCCCGAGATGGCAGTGGAAGCTTGTGCAGCGCGCGGCTGTTCGTGTACGCTCGCGTGGCGGGCTCCGGCACAACCCCATGCCGTGCGTGGATACGTGCTGGAACTAGACGACGGGTTGGGCGGCCCATTCCGGGTAAGCAATCTACTATGCCGATACTATATCGATACCTACCCACTCTACTGTATCGACGATGACTTTTTTACATAGCTAGCTACTTCTTTGAGCATAGATAGAATAAAAAAAATCGTTTGTGGGAGCTTGCAAAGGCTAACTGACTTTAAAAAAAAAGATATAAAGTTCGCAGCAATCAATCCCAAAAATGTCAATTAGGAGTTCTTGTCATTCATCATGTTCTCATCATTATCATGATATAAACCTTGTCTACGATAGGGAAATCACCAATTTTATCGGATTCATAACAACAGTTGGAAAGTGGGTTGGGCTATTTACAACGCATATAAAAGGGGAAGTGATAATAAAATAACTGTTATTGCACTACACGGTTTACCCAACCGCGCCACTGAACAACTCGTGTGTGATTCACATAAAGGCTGTACACATAGGCCCAAGGTATTGGGCCAACCTATTGCTCCAACGTGTAGAGGGCTACTTGGCGGTATGTTGGAAGCGGCGCGCCAAGATCCTTTGATGTGAACAAAAAATCGACAACATTCGGTTTGCTCGCCAATATTGGCGCAAACCGGAACATCGCTACCAATACATCGCCAAGTAGCTCTCTACAGGTTTGGCCAATAGATTCGCCCAATACCTTGGGCCAATGTGTACTGTGGGCTTATGACTTTCAGAACTAAGTGTTATGTGTAAAGTATGCTTAATGTTATGCTCATAAATTCACTTACGACACAGGAGAAAATCCTATTGAGGGCCAATTTTTTTATAACAATGACAAAAATTATTTGCCATATTTTGTAGAGATGTTATTACAGTTTTTTTCCTAAGGTATTGTCGTTGTTCTATTATTGTTATAATCTATACTTTAAAACTATCTTTAGTTCAAGCAGGCCCTCTATGACACGTTTAGTTACATACATACCATACTGCCAGTTCACCTAAACTTTCCACTTGGTTATCTCATATGAATAAATCTTACTTACTCATCATTGCATTTGAATCTAGAAAAGTTGGCAATGATTTCTAGTACGCCTATCGTGCGCCAGTAAATTACTCCTATTGAATTTCAAACACTATTAGACATTGAACCGGCCATTGCTAATATCCGTTGCTACTTAAATATTAGTACCTAATAGTAGGTAATAAATAAACTTTATAGGTAGGTAATGAGGCCTTGATCAACTGAACTCATGATCAGTCTTTATTACTACCTACCTACCATGTTAATTACTTCTAATACCTAGTATTTATTTTCTAATATTATTCACCTCCTATCCGATTATTTTATACTTGCTACTCTCGCGCGGTTTCACCCGCTGCTCAGCTCCATTTAATCGTAGCGTGATGTTATACAACCTATAGCACACAGGAACCTTGTAGCTATCTATCACTGAAAAAAATTTGACAATCCGGCCAGCGGTTCCAAAGATTACCCCCTACATACAAACTTACAATACCTCTTTGTAATATTAGTATAGATGAACTGTTAAATAGGTACCCAATAATTAAAATTGTTTATAGAACGTAATCAAGTAGTGTTAACTTATAAACTCCCATGTAACTTAACCATAATAACTAGCAAATGGATTTAAATGAAACATTCTTTAATTATACACAGTAAATCAAGGCTTAAAAACTTAATGAAGTACCTATTCGAAATGTTGTTTAAGAAAGCAGCTACAGCTATACGTGATTTTTTATTTGGGTGAAAACTTCACATTGCCTATCTCTAAAATTTTAAACTCATTTTCGTAAATATCTTTATATTACTACCAAGTGTCATTAAAATCTGTTTAGTAGTTTTCAACAGTTTAGACTTGTAAAAAGAATTTGTCCCCAGTAAATTCTTTTAAAATTACTTTAATATGTACCAAATCAAGAAAGTAGGTACTTGTTACTGATCATTTTATCCATAATTAATTTACCAATACACTTACTTAAATCAAGACCAAGATGTTATCACATCGTGCGTCAGTCCTAGAATTAGACTTTCAGCCTGCCGATTGTTTAAACAATAGTTGGCAAGGGCCTCATTGTTCCCGTTGAATGATTTTATTATGTCTTACCTTAATCTGCCTATCCTTACTTCCATTTGAATAAATTTCATGATTAGGTAGGTTAAATGGATCGGATACTAAGAATGATCAAACTTATGAAACTTGCTTGTAAGTATAAGTAATTTATGATCATCAACATCAATTAAATTGTTTTGTTTATCGCGACTGCAAAATGCAAACATCGTTGATATCTGTGAGACGAACTTATTTATTGTTTCGATTTGATCAAAGGAATAAAAATGCATTATTAAAATATTATCTCATACTACTTATTTGACTTCTTCTTGTATCAAATTTATAAAACAACAAAACTCTTAATTGTATGAATAAAAGTGCTTCTAGCCAGCAGACGTAAAATTCCTAACAAGTTTTCTCTACCACATCATATGGAAAGTGCAAAAACATAAGAATAATATTCAGTAAATCATAAAATACCATAATAATTAGACTTTTATGCAGACAAAATACAAATAGATTTACTGTTATCTAAATATGTGGGTACAATATGGGTGTACCTACCTTTTGATTACAATACACATTACACCTTATTGTTTTTATTTACTAACTATGCTTATCCCTTTATCCGCCGTGAATTCTATAGCATATTATCATATAAATTTATCAAATGTAAGCTAATGTGGCCTTGTGGCTTATATTTGTTGTAGATAAGCAGTCGTACCGTATTTTGTGACACTAAAATATTCATGCTATCTCATTGTTTACCAAAAATTATACTGTTTTTGTTATGTGAAATATGGATATATTTATGTATTATGATAAAGCGCGATAGTTTGAGTTATTTATATAGAATTGTTTTTTCTGATGATTACAGGAAGTATATTGCGGACGCGAAACTGTCTGCACAATAGACGGTTTGCATTATGCCTCGTTGTACAGTGCCCGAGTGAAGGCATTCAACGGAGCCGGCGAGGGTCCCTACAGTGAAGTAATCGGCCTTCAAACTTCTCCAGGTACTTAACACATTGAACTTTCCTATCAACTCAGGGTAGGCACTAAGGATTTTACTTTTTTGTAATAACTACATTAATACCTACCTCTCATATCTCAGTGGCATGGTTCACATGGGACGCGCGCTGTGCGGAGGCCGAAGGTGGAGTGACCTTGAGTGCAGACGGGCTTAGTGCGGCAGCGGCGGGCTGGCAGCCTCGCGTCGCGCTCGCAGACCAGCCACTCGCTCGCGGCTTGCACTACTGGCGACTACGCATCGACAGATACGATGGAGACGCTGATCCTGCCTTCGGAATTGCTCGGGCGGATGTCGCTAGGGATAAAATGCTAGGTGAGTTTTACTGAGCAGATACTCCAGACAATCCGGGGACCGGGGATTTCGTTGGGTTACTGAAAACTTTTCAGTAACCCAACGAAATCCCCAAACCGCCTGCTAAACTTGAAATATTCTCCAAACCTCTCCTAGCAACGACTTTTATTCAGCAGCCATATTTTTTTGGGTAATGCGTCTGCAGGTAGCGACGCATTGGGATGGGCGATGTATATAGATGGTTCGAGGTCGTGGTTCGTGCATGGCGGCGCGCACGGCGGTCGGGCTGCGGGAGGTATTGCACGCGGTGCCTGCGTCGGTGTACTACTTGATCTCACTCGTGGCACACTACGTTTCACTGTAGACGACCAACCCCAGGTACGAAACCTAAATGATTAGATATGTGTAATTGACTTTGTTTAAAGATAATTATGCTGCAATTTTTATGATCGGTACATTTAGCGTCACCTAAATAAACCTTGTTTATTTTGTAGGGCGATATAGCATTCACGGGTCTACGGGGAGCGTTCTATCCGGCTGTATCATTGAACCGCGGTGTGGCCGTTACTCTGCAACCAGGCCTACCACCACCACCAGACCTGCTAATATCACAACTATCTATCGAATGAAATCGCAGCTAATTATTATCTCAACAAGAATGACATACATTAGGTAAATCAAATTTCGCTAAGTTCTAGAGGTCATCATAATCATCATCTGACTCTATCGTCTCCGATATATTCTGGGCTTCCCATAAGCAGCTTTTGTATGCTTCTTTCCATAATTTCCTTTTGTTTGGTATCCAATTGATCATTTGTTTTTTTTTTAAATGAGCCTTAGATATGGTAGAGGAAAATATTTGTTTAAAGAAGTTTTAGAACAAGGTATTGTCCATAAAAATTAAGGATTGACACAAGTTGCAATTTGAAATGCATTTTGATTATTTTCTTCAATCTGTGTTTCCATTATTGACATATATAGCAGAAAACGTTTCTGGGAGTGGTTTGCCTCTCTTTGCTTAATATAAGTATCAGAATTGCTGCTCTTGGCAAAATTAATGTCGTTTTTTGCACATGTCTGTATGGCCGACAGCATAATTTAGTAATAACGCTATGAGCGCTCCAGTCATCATTTTGTAATATCATCACTAAATGACAACTTTATGTGTGGTGGGCTTCACAAAGGGAAGTCCCAGTAATAAATGTCGGGGATAAACTACTGACAGCTTTACATTTATATAAAGTTCTGTGAATAAAAGTTAAACTTGTTGCTATCGAGATTCATATCAATTTCTTTTAAGTATAATATGTACAATTAATTATCACGCCAACGTGAACGAAAAGTACATTTTATTAAGAATAACGCACATTATATCTAGTAGAAACTTTTGATTCGTAATTATTATTAAGGAGTTCAATGGCCACATGTATTTGGTTATATTTTGTACTTATTTAATACGCCTACTTAAATACGCAATAGAGTATCGAATTTACATTAAGGATTGTTATTAAATACATATTTTGTAATGGCCCATAGTTGTAAGCTGTGTTTAAAACGTATAAATTAATGTCACTTAGATAGATATTAGAATTTGGAATGTGTGAAATTGGTTTGTTTTTCATATATTAATATTTTTAAAACGGTATGCCATAAAATGCTATTAATATATGTAACATTTAATGGAGTATACAAAATACTTCTGTTTAAGTAAATCTTTAACATGTACTTAATAATTTGATCTCTTCAATTGAAACATTATTTAGTCATGCATGAAATATGATCAAAATAATTTAATGTTATGACCAACTAATACATGACAATGTAATTTAATTTCGTGATTTTAAGTTATTGTTATTGTTTTAATCTGATTGACCAGATGAGTATGTCGGGGGACCTGAAAAGTAATTAGAATGATTCCAATACCCACCAGAACTATCCGCCAATTGATGTTTCTTTATTTGTAAGACAGCTATATTTTTTATGCCTATTTATATTTATGTGATGAACTGCCTATGTTATCTTTAATAAACATGTGTTCAAAATTTAACTAATGATATTCGTTTTTTTATTATTTCATATTATAAGGGGCCGTCCAATACTTACCTTAAACTAGTAGGTAACTTAACATGCAGTCGAGTAGTTATTTCAATTATATAAAAACCTCAAACGAAAACGGTTCCTTTGGTGATGGTCAAGTAAGCACCTACATACTTATCAAAATAAGGATGCAACCACCTAAACTGTAACGACGATGTGCATAAATTGCCAGTTATACCCAGTACCTTTGCATATTGTGACACACGCTTTCAAATTAATGAAACTTCTTTAAATATTCCACTGTCGGTAAAATGGGGAGAACCGGTGAATAGATACTAGTAAAATTCATCAACATCTATTCACCACTTTTGTGTTTCTATTCTACTCGTTATACGGCACATCTTCGTGTTCCAGATCGTTCATGAATCGACACACGAAAAACGACGAAGTACGTTCGCTATGTATACATCAGAATCGCCGTTTCTAAATTATTTATTTTGTTCTTACCTAGATGGTCACTGTAAATTTATATCTACATATCCTATTAATTAACGAATTGCTCTGTAACACCCTGGTTACAATCGAAGATTTTATGTACCGTAAAACGGCGTCAGTCGAATTTAAGGGGTGAATAGATGTTGACGAATTTTCCTAGTATCTATTCACCTCTCTTCTGTGTCTAGTCACCCCGTTTTACCGGGTAAATAAATTAAATCACAGGTGAATAGAATTTGAGAAGATACAGTAAAAGGGTGAATAAATGTTAGGCGAATTTTCCTAGTAGGTATCTATCTAGCCTTCTTCTGCTGCTGCTATTTACTCCGTTTTGCCACGACCTAATTATAATAAAACAGTGCCATTGACTTCCGTAATTTATTGTGAGAGGACTTACTTAATTGTGACTGATTTTAATAAAATACTTATTTTTTAAATGTGTATCATTAGGATTTTTTAAGGAGGAAAATCTTCAATCCCTCCTAGGGTGATACGAGAGTGAGTGTCAGTCTTACTGATTGAAAAACACCCCATTCCTTCTATTTCTCCAGGCCAAGGCCGGGGTATATTATTGTGCTCGGCCCCTAACCCCAGATATCATTCGGATAAAATAAATTCAAGCAATGATGATGGTGGTGGTGGTGGTTCTAGAATTGTGGAAAAGAATTGGCTATTTGGAAAATAAAAAATGAAATGGCGTGAAGAGTTTATTTTTGGCCATTTTTTAACAACAATATATTTCTGAAATAGATAAAACAAGATAAACTATTACATTACAGAATATGCCACTGCCAATATAGGTCACTTACTAGAATGTATACTATTTCGAATCATATTTTGTATAAGAGCATGATTTATCGAAACTATAATATCTATATAAAATCTTATCTGATATGCTTTCTATTTCGGGTTTCAAATATCTTGTTTGTGATCATAATTTTCTTTTTCTGATTGCTAGTGTAGTCGCAACGTCGATTCACATATTTTTAACACACAGTAAAAGGTTTTGTCAGATGCATCAAGAAATGTGTCAAAACATCATGCATATTAAAATGAATATAAGAGATCAAACACTGAGCAAGAGTTTTGACATGTTTTTTTCTATTTATGTATGATTTGCTAAATCAGTACTGAGACCTATTATTATTATTAATAAAAAGTAACTGTTAAATCGAATGTTTTCACATGTTTACAGTACCAAAGAAATCAGGATGTTGCTCTTTATTTTATTAACCTGCATACTTTCATAATATTAAATGGTCGTTTACATTTACACATACTTCGAGATTATCGGAAGACTAAATAATTAAATTTATAGTTAAAGGTACACACGCGAATCTTAACCCAGCTATGCACAATCAGCAACACAGATGCTTATATTCTCAATTATATCCAATTATTCAGTATATTTTATTAACTATAAACATTATATATCGTCGCTGTGTTGCTGGGTGTACCATGAAACCATCATAACCTTTATCACAGATATATTTTGTCAAAATCATTTTCCATGACTCACAACATTTGTATGTTACTTTCACCAATTACTGAATCAAGCTTCCACTTTCCAAAACAATCCTTATACTAAATACAATCAGCAAAGCAATCTTCACAATTCCCAACTTGGTCTATTCTTAATTTTACAACCTGTAATTTGCACTAACACTTTTCTTATAGGTCAAATTTAACAGGCTAATAAAATAAATATTAATTTGTGTAGATAATTCTGAAACACCGAAACACAATGTAAGATTTATATCTGTTTAAATTTTTCATTGCTTTGCTAAATTAAGTAATCTAATTCATTTACATTTTCATGTTATAATTAGACTCCCAAACAAAAAATATGTAAATTGACAGTAGGACATATATATTACGAGATATTTCCTATATTGAGTACCAACAGATTTATTTAAACAAACGTAAAATAGACGACAGATTCTGGTTGTACTCTATACTTTTAGTAAGGCCTGTTGACCAAATAACTCTTCACTTGACATCCCGAATCATTTTTTTTTCCCAGAGGGCAGATGGTAATTTCGTTTCTTTACACGAAGCCCTCTAAAATAGTTCCCCAAAATGAGCAACACGCCATATCTGCAAGCCACAACAGAATGGTTTATTCCTCACTATGTCACAGATCTTGCAAATGTTATGTTTTATAAAACAATTATTTCTTATACCAGATAAGTCTGGGGGACTGACCAAGATAAAAACACATTTCTGTGTATTATTACTTAATTGCCATTTAGGATGTGATTGAGATGATAGTATATTCTCTTTATCTCTTTTATTCTCTTTATTAATTATCTTAATAGCCTTCCTCCAGACCCATATTTTGAACTGTTAATTACTGAACACTGTGACAGAGCCGCTTGCAAAAAAATCAGTAACATGATAACAATTCTTCAAAGCTAGGTCAAAATGATACTGCACCCAGATCAAAATAAAACTGAAAAAATATTTTTCGATTATACTCATTTGAGATCAGTTATGTTTTGTCTGAAGGGGTTTGTATCATCATGACCTTCCTTTTATAATTGTGGCTTGTTGACAAATATTGTTTCAAGCGGCCAGAAACAATATGATCTACACTGAAATATTTCTTTGTTAACAATAGATGATGTTTGAGCTAGTCTAGCACCTACCCACCTCACAGAATTTAAATGTTTTTTATTGAAAATAAAACTGGTGCTAGCTCAAACTAATATACATATTCTGTGGATAGGCACTCATGATATCAACAGAAAGTCAACCACAATTTATGTAAGATGATGGACAAATCTAGGTAGACTCTCATAGATGATGCTCAAATAAATATTTTTTATATTTTAACAATGTAGGAATTCGCACACAATATCCAATATGGACAAAGTACACAAGATACCTTTTTGTTTATGTCCTGATGTGTGGTTTATTTACACTTTAAAAAAGTAACCCATTTCAGGTCAAAGTCTTACTCACGATAAACTATTTACACTCACATTTTGTTACAATAAATTCATTACACTTTTTTACAAATAAGTTTTTGTTTTTAAAGATTTAAACTATGTAGTTCCTTTCACCAGTCAGCAAGTCCAGTTAGATGGGGCACGCGCAGCGAGCAAGTGCGCGAGCGGTGCGACGACGGCACGGCGTTACTTGTCGGCCGAGTCGTCGTCGTCCGGGCGTGCTACGTATAGCGCCGGGTCGATCACCTTGGGGATTGGCTTGATCTCTGTACCCAGCTCCTGCTCAATGCGATGCAGAGCAAAACGGTCCTCGTATGTGATTAGGTTGATAGCAATACCCAAGTGGCCGAAGCGTCCTGAACGACCAATACGATGTAGATAGGTTTCAGCCATACGTGGAAAATCAAAGTTGATGACGACGTTGACAGCTTGCACGTCGATACCTCTAGTGAACAGGTCAGAGCACACGAGATTGCGGCAAAGTCCCGCCCGGAAATCGTGGAACACACGATTACGATGTGCTTGCGCCATACGCGCGTGAATGTAGTAACAGCAGTATCCTAGTTCAGTTATTTTCTTTGCAAGTAGCTCCACACGCTGAGTTGAATTACAGAATATTATAGACTGGTTTATTTGCAACTGAAAAAAAAAGAATAAGTCAATTATAAAAATTTATAGGGCACTTTTAATTTCAATTGAATGCATTCACTTAAGATATTATAAAAGCAATAGTAACAAACCTTAGAAAAAAGTGTATTTAAACAATGAACTTTCTGTCTCTCTTGTACAAATGCATAGTACTGTGTAACTCCCTTCAGTGTTAATTCCTCCATGAGATTAATCTCATATGGTTCTCGTAAGTGCTTTTCCATGAATTGCTTTACACTCAGTGGGAAGGTTGCAGAGAACAGCAAGATCTGGCGTTCTTTGGGCAATCTGTAAAAATATATTAGATATTAAATAAATATTAATGTCTATTTTAAAGATAACTAAAAAACTAAAACAACAAAATAAAACACATACCGTGAAATAACCATATCCAACATTCCTTTAAAGTCTTGAGAAAGTAGTTTATCTGCCTCATCAAGAACCAGCATCCTGCACTGGTCCATCTTGGCAACTTGTTTATCCATGAGATCAATCATACGACCCGGCGTAGCAATAATAACTTGAACTGAAAAATACAAGACAGATAAGATATTATGATCTCAAAACAACATTTCAATTAATTTTAGAAAATATAATTGTTATTACCATTTTGATAAATACGCATAATGTCGTCCCGGAGATTTGTACCTCCAGTGGTAACCATTACGCGAATATCTGTGTGCTTTGCCAGTTCAATGCAAATTTGTGATGTCTGGAGCGCTAACTCCCTAGTTGGTACCACAATTAAAGCTTGAATAGCATCTTTTTTGGGATCCACCTAAATATAGAGAATAAAACATTTTAAATGTACTACCTACAACTTATTACAATAATTTGTGTCGGGTGGTTAACATAGTCAGTAAATACGGGTTTTGTCACTTATAAACAAGTGAAGGGGAATCCAAAAATATCATCATTCAAGTCCTTACAGCAATAATTTCACAATATCAAACTAGAAAATACAAACCTGTTCTAAAACTGGAATACAATAAGCGCCAGTTTTGCCAGTTCCATTTTTAGCTCTTGCCAGGACATCTTTGCCACTGAGTGCGATAGGAATAGAAGCCTCTTGAATAGGAGAAGGTTTTTCCCATCCTTTCTCAAAAATGCCCATCAGCAGCTCACGTTTTAGGCAAAACTCTTCAAACTCATTACCTCTTGTGTCTGTTACATCCTTTAAACGCAAGAATGAACAATAAACATCTCAAACGATAATATGGGACATTGTATTGTAAAATAAAAATAAAAAAATCTTCCAAGAATACTTCTTATAAGATAATGTTTTTGTAGTTATCCAATTCTATTAAAATTCTATTTGAAATAGTAGTAAAAGGAAGCTAGTTAGAATGCTTTAAAAAGAAAATTAGAACCAATTATTTAGGTTGAAGGTAGTTGTAACTTACACTAGTCTTTATTCTCCTGTCTTTCGGGGGTATTTTTAATTTTGATTTCCAACCGATGTCATCGATACTTTTATCGACATCACTGTAAAAAGAATTCACATCATTATAAAGTACAGAAGTAAACACATTAGCAAACAAAGAGTTATACGAACCCCTTATTCTGACTGGTCATACTGTTTCCGACGTGATTACTTGAACTAATTCTATTTTCGGTCATCATTTTGCCAAATAATCCCACTAGGGACACGACTAAAATTAGAAACTTAGAATCACAATTCTTTGTCCAAGTCCGACACTAAATAAATTTTACGATAAGTCACTTTTCGACACATAAGCTATTAAGAAGTTTATCACGTTCACCAACTTAGTCCGGGGATATCTGGAACAATAAAGACATCATACATATTAAACATTATAGTATAGATAGGCACGCCAAAGAAAGATAGGTAAACGAGATTACGAGACGCGTCAACAAGCCTCAAAATAAGTAGGTACAAATAATTACAAAACAGAAATTGGCGATAAAAACAAATACCTTGGAGAACTAATAAGCGTAGAACAGAGGGGATGTAATTTAATTTTGTTCTACTACGTATTTAAACATAAACGGAACAAGATTAAAGAGATTACACAGGATAAAATGAAGTCGTAGTTATATCTTCGAATTTTAATATGGCCGCCAAGAAATATTTAAGTGACAAGTAGTTTAAGTATCTGTTTTATTACTAAAGAAGTTGCACTTTTACATGTACAACTGATACGTATCAAATATAAAAATAAATTACGCAAAATTCATAAATAAACATTACCTTGATAAAATTCTACAAAAGACGACGACACTCGATACTCGACGACGACATCACAATGTAACCAAAACAGTGTTGCCAATTGTTTGCTCGAACTGCTCGTAGTTTGCAACTTGCATTGCTCCTTTGCCGTCATAGATAAACAATAAATTAACGTTCTGTTTGTTGGCGCTGCCTATGTAAGTGTCTTGAATATCCAAAATGTAGAAAAAATTAGGTTGGTATATCTGAAGATAAAATTATTTTATTATATTTATTTACTATTAGTGAACAGGAGTTCACTTAAATAAATAATTATGTTCTCACGATCTCTAAAAAATGTTTTTTAGAAGAGTATGATACAAAAACAGTTGTTATCACATTCTCGTCGGAAAATAATAACTCTAGTTTAATTTATTATTTATAAAAAATAAGAAATATATTTATTATATCATTGTATTTAGTCGTAAGTTTAATCTTGCGTAGATTAGGTAGTGATATGTGTCTAACCATTCTCACTGAAATATGAACAATTTTTAAAGTAAAAAGGAATAATAAACAAAACTATTTTAGAAAAATAACAATTATAATTAAAAGAAATAAAAATAATCTTTTCCAGGATTTTGATCGAATTTGTGATAAAAATTTTGAATGCACACAAGTATGTAGTGATTGGTCTGACAATCGTACAACAAATAAAGAGATTTTTTTATTAAATAAAGGTAATTTCAAAGATAAAGCAATCTTCTTTGTATTAATTAATACATGTTAATCATGCCATTGTTAAACTGGTGATACTTTTTAATCCATAGAGATGAAAATACTTAACAAGTTGTCAACTTGACAAACCTTATTTTGACGCTGACTTTGAAGTTGATGACAACACTACATAACCTCGTCTCCTACTTAAACTACATTACTACAGTATTAACAATTTATGTTTATGTTGATTTTGCTACAGTCAAAGAATTAATTCCATTTGCAATAAATATTTATTTATTTCAACAATAAATTAAACATTGTTATCTCACGTAAGCTGGCTGAATCCACCTTTGCTCTAATATCGCAACAACTTCAAGATGTAAGTACCAAAAAAGATTGATGTAAACAAGTAGCTGTATGATAGAGTGAATTGTTTATATATGTATTTATTTCAGGACGGAATACTGGAAATCTCAGGCACGAAAGTATTGTGAATTTTGCAAGTGTTGGTTTGCAGATAACAAAGTGGTAAGCATAAAAAATAATTCATAATTTTAAGTTAATAGGATTACTATCTCGATAAGAATTATTTGAAGTCTATTAAAATCTGATAAATTCCTGTACTGTAACTGTATATGAATTAGGTATATAAATACTTAACCAATAATAAGAACTAACATTACAACCTAATGTCATTGAAATAATGAAAATGTGTTTATTTGGTAATAGACATGAAAGCCAGAAACCAAAAAAATAACATAAAAAAAAGGTTAAAAAACAAAATTAAAATAAGAATAATAATAATACACTAAAAAACTAGACTAATAATATCAATGACATGCATTGCATGCAATATGCAATTGTTTTGTTTTCAATCCACATTAACTTTGAATTTTATATCTAATCAGAGCCAAGTTGCTTATTGGTCGATGTCGATCGGTTGATGTGCCTCATGTAGGAGCATCCAAGCCCTTTAAGAAAAAACCTTTAATTTTAATGACAATGTTCTTACTGAAGGAGGTTCTAATTTGAAGGCAATAATAAAACAAAAATACCAAAACCATAATATGTTAAAAAAACAATAATATTTGACTTTTGCATTTCAGTCGATTTCCTTTCATGAGAATGGTAAACGACACAAGGAAAATGTTCAGAAACACATTTCACAGCTTAGCAAAAAGAGTGCTAAAGAATTCAAACAAAAAGAAAAAATAGATGATGATATGAAGAAAATGGAAGCTGCTGCTATGGCAGCTTACTTGAATGATATTAAAAACAATGCAGATCTTACATCACAGGTAAAATGTTTATGTGTTAAACATTTACATTTTTTTCAGTTATAAATTTATCCAGATTTTTATAAACAAAGTTGAAATAAAAATATTTATTTAATTTCAGAGCATTAATGATTTATTAAATCAGAGTGGTAGCAGTGAAGCAACCATTGTGGTTAGTAATTCACCTACATCCAAAGCACCACCGGCCTGGGAAGAAGTCAAGAGTGATGATGGAAGCTCATATTACTGGAATACTATAACAAATGGTAATTGTGTAATTTATGAACTACTTAAAATAAACATATTTTTATTATAATTATTTATTTATACATAATACTTAGCTTGAAAGACTAATCTTTCATGCATGGATCTGATGTTATATATAACAAATAGGTTTTGTATTTTTGTAGCTAATATTATCACATATTAATTTGTCATATTTTGCTATTTCATATAAAATTCATAGGAAAATAACACCTGTGATGTTTTGGAAAATTATTGATTACAACTAGTTCCCTTTTATTATAATCCAGTAGTATTCTTTGATTTTGAGCTCGAAACCAACTCTTTGTTCTTGAGAATCTAAATCATTAACCATGAAATAAAGTCTTGAATATGCTTTTGAATAAACCCTGTAGAGTTTTGTAAGTGTCCTTGTCAGTCAGTTGATTTCATGTTATTTTTTATAATTTATTGTAGAAACCACCTGGGATCCTCCAGATGAATATGTATCAGTAGCAGAAAAAGAGAAGAACAAATTAAAAGAAGAAACTGAAGAGAAAAAGAAACAGAAGTTAAAGTGAGTGTTAATCAACGGAAAAAAAAATATATTTTTAAAGTATAATAAAAAAAAGTCTGACTGAAAATAAATTTTTTAGGTGACAAACAAATAAAAATAAAACATTAGCCACTGTAAATTAAAAATATAAATATTTTTTTCCAGAAAACAACAACAAAAACAAGCACAGAAGGAAGTACATATGGAAGTTAATGCTCACCTAGCAAGAGAGAAAATGAGAGAATTAGCTGTTAAAAAGGAACCAGAGCCAGTTAAGAAATTTGTGGACTATGGACCTGCTCCTCGAGCCAGCAAACCTTATGGCTCATGGACCCCAGTTGTTAACCAGTAAGTTGAATAAGTTGAATGTTATTATAATAAAAAGTAATTGAAAAAATATAGTTGTAAACCATGATGATATCAACATATTTTTGACATTTCTGAGTGTAATAGATAGTTTATTATATAAAACAAGAGTACTTTAAACAAAAGTACTATAGAACAGAACAATAAAAAACAGATATAAGTATACAGTATTATAAAATAACTCTTTATTAAAAAGAACAAGTATTGACATAAAACACAATGATTATTACAATCTAACCATTTCAAACGTATTTTAGTAATTAATTCTTTTTGTTATTATTTTCTAGGCCTGTGGAACAAGTGGATCTTCAGTTACCGAAGAATGAAAAGGTGTTGCCGCCGCCTCCAGTTGTGGTGCAACCTGAAATCATTCAGTTTAAAGAAAAACGCATCGAATCTCTTGGAGATGAACCTGTCGAATTCAAAAAGAGAAAATTCAACAATCCTAAAAGAAATATGCGTCAAAAGCTAGATGATGACTGATAGTATAAAAAGTAAAAACTATAAAATATGTAAAAAGGCAACGTGATGTTTTTTTTATTTTTTATAATCCTCAAAGTGCCTTTGCTTTCTGTCTGTGTATGATAAATGCAATGTGTCATAGAGTTTCTCGAATCCTGAATCGAACCAAAAGGAAAGTACTTGCCATCCTTTCCATAAGAATTTATAAAATCCTCACGATATGCAAATGACGTACATATTATAATAGTATTATTTTTACCACCATTAAAAAAACCAATAGGTATCATTAGAGCAACCAAATTGTGTGAGTACAATTATATGGAGTGATCTCAGTATCAACCTAGCAGAAGAACCGACCGTTTTTTTATATGACATGATGTACGGCAAACGAGCAGAAGGATAACCTGATGGTAAGCAATCAGCGCCACCCATGAACACCCGCAACAACAGAGGAGTTACGAGTGCGTTGCCGGCCTTTTGGGGATTGGGGGAAGTAATGGACGTCTGGTAACCTTAATTACATGGCGAAACACAACGTTCTGGTTGTTTCACGCCGTTTATGTAGGTACTGTTTTTCATGATTTTTATAGGTACTTAGGTGAAAAATTGTGTTGCTTAATGTTTGTGGGTTAATTTTCTTGTAAGTACCTACATTGAAATGGAAGTACCTACGCATAGCAAAAAGTGTTCTCTAGAGCTCTTGCTTCGTTGATGCAGACACTATGGCCGCCACGCCATAGCATTCTTTGTTTATTACATAATATTCTAAAAGATGGCGCCACTTGCCCATCTACAGGGGACAGGGGCAGGGGGGGGGGAGAATTTAACTGATTATGGCCAATCAGTAGCAGCACGTTCGATTCCTTGTATCTACAATTTGTTTTAAAAACTTCTAAATAATAATTCACCTCATTAAGTACTTAAGTTTAACTTTATTAATTCGAAAGAACTTTTACACCTATCTCTCTGTAGCTGGTCACAGTTTTGGGACATTTGGATTATAATATCATGCTATCATATCATCAAAATATTGGTAAGAAACTTCAAGATTGACGCACAGGTTTGCTGGCTATTAGCTAGGTAGGTACTGTGAAACATAACACGGACCATTCTTTGCGTGATCCACTGAATTACTTATTTGTAAACGAACCCACGACACAAGAAAATCTTAGTGTGGGGAAATTCAAAATAAAGTTCATTCAAAAACTTGCTTAGTTGGATATTCCTGAGTAGCTTACACTGGGCTTTTTAGTATAATCTTAGTACAAACATAAATAATAGGTACCTATAAGTAGGTAAATGTGTGTAGGAAGCTTTATAGTGATATCATTATGGAAATTGATGCGAACCACCTGCTAATAAATCGTATCTTGATAGGTATCTATCGTTAGTAGGTACGTATACTTCGACGGGTAGGTACCTACGTTTATTCAAGTGCACTACTTTATTAAAAAATAACTAAACTCAATTATAATAAATATAAGTAGGTATTTTACCTATAATTATATTTACATGCAGTCATGCTAGTATGCAACTAATATACCTCCGTACTAATCCGTCAGCTAATTTAGTCATTAATAAACTAATAAGTAATTAGGTAACATTTTGTAGGTAGGTAAGGTGCAAAGGGTGATGATGATTTGAATGAAAAATAAAATAAAAACATGTATTCATTTCTACAAATGAAATTTATTTTTGCTTTTTAGTTAACTTTTTGAAGTCGGAATATTTTTGTTAAAAATTATTTATTTCACCATTTTAAGTATAGTAGGCAGAGCAAGCAAGTATAATGGTTTTCGAATTAGAAGACGACGGCTACCTACTTGAGACCGAAAATCACGGTGATAGTAGTAGTCCTGAGTTAGTTAGTTTAGCTGTAAATCGTTGAGGAATTCCCTCGACTGTCAATGGTCTCCATCATCATACTGCAGACCTTCAATATACTTACATAATCCATATAGGGGCGAAGTTTTCATCGATATAAACGAATTAAGTCCAAACACGAGGTAGTTACTGTGAACCGTTCAGGAGTTCCCTGAGCTGTCTTTCGTTCTCATCATGAGACTCCTAATGACAGTCACGATCAATACGAAAGTGCTCACCAATACGAATCATTCATGCCCAAAAACAAGGTAACTACTCCAAATAATCAAGGAGATCCCTCGACTGTCTCCCGGCTCCATCATGAGGTCGAGTTCGACCATCGGCAAGTTGTAGCTTTGTAAAAAACCGACTAAAAACATGCAAAAGTATTACTCTACCCCTACAATTTTCGAAAGTTCCCCTCGTTTTCCCTAGGTTCCATCATCAGATCCTGACCTCATGAAAATGGGACCGGTTCATAAACGGTTCATAAATGGCGTAGTAATCGGTGAACATACAAAAAAAAAACAATCAGCCGAACATAGTAAACTCCTCCTTTTTTTGAAGTCGGTAAAAAGGGGTCTTACCAAAGTATAAACTATGGTCTTACTGTTCCTATACCTAATAGCGTAGATACCCGTCGTAATTACTTACCTACTTATCAAATATACATACCTAGACTGAAACCCTCTTTGAATCAGTTGTACAAGTACCTAGATACATACCTAATACCAAATAGCAACAATGGCCAAACTTATTGGAATAGAGATCGGGTATTTTAAGGTAGATGTTACCTAGGTATTTACACTGCGTATACCTAATTTCAATGTTCGTTATTCAAAATTAATTCGTTTAGCTGTTTTATCCGCTGTTTTACATTAAGTGCGAGCCGTATGAAATTGCAAACTGATACTTCAGTACTTATTGGACAAAATCCCAATATAAGTAGGTACTTAGATAATTTAGTACCTAGGTACATATTTAACGCTTCGACAACCAATTGACAGCAGTTGCACTTGCGGTCAGTTTAATAAACCCAAACAGAAAAGCTTAAAAACATTTTGTTTTTGTTTGGCCGGAAACCTACCTAATTTATTTACCTACTTAATTATTTTTACCAAGTGACCTGTGTTATGACAAAAGGGTTTCCCCTTTTGGAAAACGTTTAAAAGTACGAAAGTTTGGCGTCTTGGTAAGAGGTAGGTCTTCCGTCTTTAGAAAATAATTATGAAGAATGTTTAATTGTTTTCTTTTCTAAGGATTTAACCTAATGTTTTTTTCTTTATAATTTTGAATAATAATATTGTGGTGAAGTAGCTACCGTTTCCATCTTGCTATTTTGATAATCACTGCTCTATCTTAAGTTCGTCCGTCCGAGAATCCGTGAAGAGAAGAGAATAACAAAAAAAAATAAACACATAGGTACCCAAGGTATAGATTAAAACACGTCATAGGTACTTCTAAAATCCCAGAAAATTATCATACAAAATTTCTATATATTAGGTACCTAACCTAGTAATCTAGACATCTATTTACAGCAAACTCAATACCCGAAACACTAATTTCGTTCTTTAGGGTTCTATCAAACAAAAACAAATTTACCTATATCGACTACATGGAGAAGGTTTGAGTATTATTACTTAATCATCATGCTTGCTCAAGGCAGATTGGCGATTTCAAACTTATAATTAGACATTGTAAGTTCAGGTTTCCTCGCTACCTACGTTTTACTTCACCATGTGTCAATGGTGTCTAGATAATCATAGAAAGCACATATAACTCGGAAAAAGTCACATTGGCACTTACCAGGTTTGGAACCCGCACCCTAATGAGATAAGTGTTTTTTTGAGAGGACGCGAGAACGCGAATGTCAGACTCTTACTTACTAAAACCCCCGTTCCTTCTCCTACTCTAGGCCAAGGTCGCGGTGCTTCATTGCATTTGCTCTGCAACCCCGGCTGAACACCAGCCTGTAGGGCCTCGTCTGCAGAGGATAGCTCCCTCACGCGATCAGCCTCCTTCTTTGCGAGCATAACTGCTTCACAGAAAGAGGAGAAAACTCCCCAGTTCCTCTCGCTCCTCACCATGGACTCGACTAAGGACGGGCGCGAGAGGTCTCTGCCGCCAATGGGAAGTGCCCTAAGGACACGGCGGTTCTCAGCCCAAGCAGGGCAGACCGCCACCGTATGGACCCTGGGTGGTCCTCACAATGACGACATTCGGGCGTTCTCTCCCGTTGAAAAACTTTTTCTACTTAAACCTTGTTTTCCACTAGACACTTTCTTACAAAGTAGGTTTATTGAAATAAGTAACGTTTTCCTAGAAATCTAGAAAACTTGCGCTGAAGACACCTTAGTAAACTGCTGGCGCAAACAATTAACTTAATTGAAGACCGTTTCAGCTCAGAGCTGCATATTAAAAAATAACAATGCTTTATCAATTATTGGAACAAGCTGAGTGTCTGGGACGTACCTACTGTCATCATTTTTATTTATAATCTTAGGTAAGGTAGGTACTAATAGATATTATAAATGCGAAAGTTGCAATGTTTGGATGTTAGGATGTAATTGTTACTCAATCACGTCAAAACGGCTGGACGGATCTAGATGAAATTTTGCACTAGCATAGAATACACTCCCGAATAGGACATAGGCTATTTTTTATCAACATACCACGCGGACGAAGCCGACGGCGGAAGCTAGTATTTTAATAAGTTATCAGTCTTAATAAAACAGTCCTCGTCTGTCCCTTCGTAGGATCATTAATATTCATCCGGCTGAATAGCTTTTAACCGTGTTCTCATGCAAAATAATCACTATTACATAAGCACAAAGTGAACTTGTTACCTATATCCTGTTGTTAATTAACATAAACTTATTTGATTTATTTATAACCTTACAACACCTATACCTATTTTATTATTTATATTAAACAGTTATGGTATCAATAAAAAGATCACACGAAAGTAATTCCTAAGTATCTACGTTAACGTAAGTATGGGGACTTTTAATATAGTAGTTTTAATCAACTTTCTAAAATTGGGGACCAATCGACCATCACAATCATCATCAACCGATCACACATATAAAATATGTAATAATTATTTTACCTAAGCAAGCCAAAACCTTTAATTTCTATCACCTTAATTAAAACGTATGGCGTATCGAATGTTATAAACGTGCACGCATTTTTTACTGT